TGATTTGTGAGATTTTGGTGCACCCATCACCCGAGCAATATACACTGCACCCTATTTGTAGTCTTTTATCCCTCAACCCCCCCCACCCTTCCCCTGAAGTCCCCAAAGTCCATTGTATTATTTTTATGCCTCTGTGTCCTCATAGCTTAGCTCCCACATATCAGTGAGAACATACAGTGTTTGGTTTTCCATTCCTGAGTAACTTCACTTAGAGTAGTCTCCATTCTCATCCAGGTGACTGCAAATGTTCTTGACTGTGGAGAATTCCCTCAGACACTAAGCCTGATAACAAATATCTCTATGGCTACAATGTGTCAGGGTAAAAATAATTGCACGTTTAGAACAAGCATCCTGGAAGCTTTCCACAGGGCTCATCTTGTTAAAGAAACTACTTCAACTGAATTTTGAAAACCAGCCCCTGATTGAAACAAGAAAAAGAATGTTCCCTTTTGGAGGTGCCTTTTCCTTTGCCTTTGGTCTATAAGCATTTTGTTCACTAAGAGCAACATACAATATTCAGATTTTCTGCTGGACCTGTTAATACACAGTTCATACATTTTCCCAGTTCTCCAGGTTTTGTTTTCAAATTTCGTAAAAAGCTACTCTCACTCAACCATTTAATATTTTCAAATGTTGCTGTGAAATATCAGGGCTTGCATCTTGAAGGACAAATCTCTCCCTTTTAATTCCTCTGTAACTGACATGCAGGATTTTGTCTCATCACCTCATATTTAAATCCATTCTTTGGACCTAATAAAGACCTATGGATGCATCAGGGCCACTGATAGGTCAGGAAGCATCTGGGGCTTCTCTTGTTAAATTATCCTATCAGACCATATATGCCTCCTTCAAGTTTCAGGGTCTATCAAACTGGATTCTATCTTTTCTGACTCTTTTCAATAGTTGAAAAGGTAAAGTGAATAAATAGGAAGGATTAGGAGGAGAATGGGATGGAGACAAAACAGAAGGTGCTTACAGAAAAGATATCTGAAGTATCTTCTCCCCTCAGGTGTGGATGTAAATTGTAGGTGAACAAGGCCAGGTAAGTAATTGAGGCAGAATAGTGGCCCAGCTACTCTTTGATAGGTAGCCACTTCCTGCCTGCCTGCCTATAGCTCTTAGTAAAAGATATTTTGCGTTCACCTTGAAGAATGTGCTGATATAACATCTCTATGAATAATGAGCTGGACATGTGAGAAATCATAGTAAGGGACATTCCATAGCCACCAGGCTGGGATGGATGTAAAGGACTGATTCCCAATAATTGTCTTTTATGAAAACCTCATAAACCTGCTTGTTTGTTGTTTTGTTTATTTGTTTTTGTTTTTGTTTGCCTGAGGTGTTCATTTTTGGGGGAAATTTTATCTGCTCAGAGATAGCAAAAGAGAAGCCCTTGAGCTCAGCTAAATCACATTTTTCATGTGTTTTAAAATTGTTAAGTCACAATGCCTTTAGTTAGAACATGTGCTCTCAAGTTAGTTACAGACCCCCCCACCATTTCCTACCAGTATATACCAGCAACTCCTCGCATTCCCATTACCTTCTTGGCCACTGAAAGCATTTAGGTTTTCCCTTCCTGCCTCAGTTAGGTCAAGGCACTCTTTTTCCAGAATCTAATGTTTTATATGAAACTATCTTATCCTAAATCCTCCAGAACCATTGATTCATGAATGATTCCTCCTTTTGTAAGTGCGTTCATTCAACACCATTGGGCTTGCTTTGTGCCAGGCACACTCTGCTACATCTTGAGAAGATACCAGTGTGTTTGAGACATTGTCCTTATTTGTAGAAGTTTAGAATTTAGTCCGGGAAGCAAACGTGTTTGTCTCCAGAATAAACATTTCATAATTGAAGGGTCATCAATGGATAAGGAGAGGGAGAGTGGGTAGAATTTGCTAAGAAGTGACTGGTGCCTGAAGACCCATGTATATTGTTGAAATTTTAATTTGTTGTAGTGAATGGAACAACCACATAAGACAAGGCTTGACCTCACTCCTTCCCCATAGCCTCAATCAGTGACAGGTGAAAATTATAATTTAATTGGACATCACCTAGGAGGGTAGATAACTGTATAAAACTTAACCATGTTATCTACTATCTTTTAATTTTCAGGATTTTATGTAACTTAATTTTTAAGATAAAACATCTTGAACCAAAATGCTGAAGGCTGAGCTGTATCTGAATATAAATTCCAGGTATTCTTTTCTCATCTAGGTATCTTGGTCAGCACTACCCAATAGAAATAGGGAGTCATGAATATAATTTTCAGTTTCCTGGCAGCTAGATTAAAAAAGTTAAAAGTGGCTGGGTGCGGTGGCTCACGCCTGTAATCCCAGCACTTTGGGAGGCTGAGGCGGGTGGATCACCTGAGGTCAGGAGTTTGAGACCAGCCTGGCCAATACAGCAAAACCCCATCTCTACTAAGAATACAAAAAATTAGCCAGACGTAGTGGCAGGCGCCTGTAATCCCAGCTACTTGGGAGGCTGAGGCAGGAGAAACTCTTGAACCCAGGAGGCGGAGATTGCAGTGAGCAGAGATTGAGCCATTGCACTCCAGCCTGGACAACAAGAGTGAAACTCCGCCTCAAAAAAAAAAAAAAAAAAAATTTACAAGCACAAGGAAAATTAACTTTAACAATATATTTAATTTTGCCTAATATATTCCAAAATTTATTTCAACATTAAATTCTATGATAAGAAGAAGATATGTGCACTCTTTTTCATACAAAGTCTTTGTAATCTAGTGAGTATTTTACATTTATAACACATTTTCATTTGGACTAGGCCCATTTCTAGTGTTCAGTGCTACATGTGGCTAGAAGAGCTGTTCTAAATGCTCTTAGAGCATCTGCAATATCTTGGAGCATGCGTATGTGTTAGGTAAGCAAAATGTTAGACCTAAATAATTTAGCTACTTTATCCGTTTGATGTTCGGAGTTTCGGAAGTAACGTATTTGCTAGCTGATTAATATTTTTACTCAAGTAGAAAATAGTTTCTAGTGGTTCCATCTTAATCATGGCCATTTAATTCATCATAAACTTATTTCAAGAAGAGGTTGCCATTTGCACAGTTACGGCAAACTCTTAAGCTGAGAAGAAATTTGATTTTTCTTGATTACATATAAGCATGTAAAATTTAGTATTTGGACTTAAAGAAAACGTTTTGGTATGACAGAAAACCAAAATAGATTTCGTTTGATGAACTCTATCTTAATGCGGAGATATTGAAGTCCATTACGAAATTAGTCCCCATAAATTTCCTTTCTTCTTTCTTATTGTTAGATTATCAAATGCTGATTCATAAACTAAATGTCATAAAGATTTATTTAAGTTTGAGGACAAATCTTCACAGCCAATGATGAGTTTTTCATTATTGAATTTTATTGTCCTGGTCATGTACCTTCTGCCTTTCCTAGTGTACTGTGTGCTTGTTTTTACCACTGCACACTGCCTAAGTGTTCTCTAGCTCCCTTAATGAGAACTATGTTTTGAAGAGTTCCTTAAGGTTGTTTATTAAGATGGCACTTTGTTTCTTTACTTGTGGTCTGGACACATAAATATTAATAAATCTATTCAGCCAGTCACATATTTTTAGACCTCAGATGTCAGACATGGTTATCTTAACAAATTTATCTCTATCCCTATATCCCTCTGATGCCATTTCACTTAGCCAACCTACTTAATGCAATTGCCTAAAGGGATTTCTACTAAGAAAAGAGTACCAAGGAGGGCATCAGATGTTTCACAATCAAGCTTACAGAGCAATTTCCTAGAAATCAGCATATGCAAGGCTATAGGAAGTGATTTAAAAGTGTTAACTCATGTAATCCATTTAACCTCATTAATAAGGTTTAATTTCGTCACAACTTTATGAGAGGAAGAGTATTATTTCCCTCATTTTTACATGTTAGGAAACTGATGGTCAGAGATGCTAAGTAACTTGCCCTGCAGAGGTCGTGAAGACAGGAGCAGTCCTCAGTGATCTCTACCATCTGGCCCCTATAATCCTCTGGGTCATAGATCCTGAGCCTGTGGGAGCTAGCCTGCGGATTCGGGAAACAGCAGATGAGGGAAAGTCAGAAAACTTGACCTCATGTCAGCAGGGACCCCTGGGGAATGGACTTTAAAAAAATCTTTGCTTTATCAAAGGTGACCAAACTAAAAGAAATAGATGGCTAATACCAGGGGCGCTGTGTATAGTTGGATAGGTTGTCTACTGTGAAGCTCAAGAGGGCATCATTCCCCATTCATTTGGTACGAATGATGCTCCCTAGGGCTGTTGGTACAATCTACATGAACAGACACACTGGTCCTGCTCAGGACCACTTTCAAGTATTTTATGTATTTGTTTCATTCTCTCCTTTATAGATTTGTAGTGGTTTGGGGCTCTCCCTGGAGGACATACAAAATAATCAGACTTTAAACAAAAAGATAAATGTGTCCCTGGCAACAGGTATTATTTTGAATCTCAATAACATTAGAAGCTAGAGGGATAGGAGGTTGAATTGCTTTTACTCAAGCAAGGCACAAATTGGTGGCAATTCAGGAAGACAGTCCAGCCTGGGCAATCCCTTCATCTGTGCCTTTCTGCTTTAAGCCTGCTGCTCTAACATGCTGAAAAGCAAGAGCCGTCACAAAGACTAGGTTTCAGTTCTCAGCTCCAACATGTGCTCCTACAAATCAGTTTTAGGTAATAACCAAAAATGGAAGTTCAAGATCTTGAAAGAGGCCTGTACAGCATCAAAGAGTATAAAATCTTTAGAACAATAGAAAGTTAGGCTGTTTCTCCTGAACTATTCCTGCCTTTCTCTCTTGAGCCCTTGTTTTTCCTTCATCTGCTTGTTTCTTTCCCTTGTCACAATGTTTCCTCTTCCATCACTAAAAACCTCTTTAGGAAGGATTCTCATAAGCAGTTCCTCTTGTGGCATGAACAACTGCTGATAAGGTATTTTACATTGGTCAGCATTTCGTGTTTGCAGAGGACTGATATGTTGTTGCTTCATTCGTTCTTCACAACACCCTGGAACATGTGGAGCAACGTTAAAGCCTTTTACCCTTTTACTGAAAAACTAAAGACTGGATCTTACAGTCTGTAATTAGAAGAGTTGGAACTTGAAATTAGAAATCTAAGTTTTTGGGCTCCTAATGCCAGACTGGGTCCCTATCAAGCTATTAAACCTTGTGAGGGGATTTCAGACTTCACAAAAATGGTTCATTTTCCCAGGACTCTGTCACAGTCAACTTAGGGAATCCCTAACTGTGAAATTCCAGTCTGCTGGGGCTTCATTTGAGTAACACGGGGCCCTGCAGGAGCTATTGGAATCTCATTGTTGGTTACTGGTTTGCCCAATCAGAAGGCAGGACTTCAGAGACCCTTGATGTTCATAATAATAGTTAATACTGGGGGGTGGGGATTGGCCTGTACCAGGTGCCCTCCTTTCACCCTCATTGCAACCTTAGAAAGGAAGTACTCTTATTAGTCCTAATTCTTAGGTGAAGAGTACCAAGCTTAGGTACTCTTCAAGAAATAGCCAGGAACCTAGTTTAGGACCACCTGAGAGCAAGGAACTCTGTTGCTCATTCATCACCTGTGGCATAGACAGTCTGAGCGAATGCCATGCACAACTTATTCCCAGTAGCGGTGAATTTGACTAGCAAAATTAAATAATGTCCAGTTAAAAGCACTGCATCACATACTTTTTCAGTGGGAGGAAACCTTACGGATGTTAATAAAGGAAAAGAGAATATAGTTAGAGCTAGAAAAAAGAAGGCTGCCATCCCATCCTATCGCCTGTCGTGTGAATCATCCATGTGGATAACTGATGCGACTCGAGGGCACGGAAGGGACCCGGCGGGACTGCACTCACGTAGAGGATGAGGCGGCAGGAGCGGACCCAGTCGCTGAGGCCCATCCACTGCTGGTGGTCGGCATAGTAGCCGCAGCGCAGGAAGTACTGGAGGCCCGAGTAGTTGGGCAGCTCATAGAGCATCCAGCAGCCGCTGTCCACGCGCACCGAGTTGCAGTGGCTTAAGTAGGGCTGCAGGTTGGGGTGGTCGCTGCTGCATTCGTAGTGGCGGCCCTGGAAGCCCGGTCCTCGTAGAGGGTGATCTGCAAGGCAAGGCGAGGCAAGGCGAGGGCTCACAGGCCTGCCCCTGCCCCTGCCCCTGCCCCAGTCTCCGGGCCCCGACATGCGGGGAGCTCCCGGGGCCCCGGTGCGGGCTGAGCTCACCTTCGCCTTGGCTGGCTGGGCTGAGCGGGTGGGGCGGCATTGTCGGGTAGTGTTGTTTGAAGATGAATTAAGGGATGATTGGTTTATTTTTAAAAATCATTAACGATTAATAGTTATTCATGATGCTTTTTAAATTTCAACTTTACTTTTGATCTAATGTATATAGCTTTTTGTGGAACAGATCCCTTTTTAAGTAAAACTTTCCATAAGACTGAAAATAAATAGCATGTCTGTCTATATATATATATAGACAGATATATATGTAAATATATAATATACATTAATTATATATAATATACATACATTAGTTAAGAAATCATGGAGAAGATTTTTTTCTTTTTTTTGTATGAACAAAAGAAGATACATAGTATAAGATACATTAGGCACAAATCTTAGTAGGAATATAATTATAAAATCTATATTTATCCTCTCCTCCCTAAAGGCTCTACTAAAGCACTTAAGCTTTTCCTCTAGGCTCTGGGGGTGGCGGGGGGGTGGGATCCAAAAATAGTCATAGAACATAATGCAAAGTAAAATGAAGAATTGAACTGCTGTCAAATAAAGAATGCGTGGCGCCTGTAATCCCAGCACTTTGGGAGGCCGAGGCGGGCGGATCACAAGGTCAGGAGATCGAGACCACAGTGAAACCCCGTCTCTACTAAAAATACAAAAAATTAGCCGGGCGCTGTGGCGGGCGCCTGTAGTCCCAGATACTCGGGAGGCTGAGGCAGGAGAATGGCAGGAACCCGGGAGGCGGAGCTTGCAGGGAACAAAGATCGCCCCACTGCACCCCAGCCGGGGAAAAAGAGCGAGACTCCGTCTAAAAAAAAAAAAAAAAAAAAAGAAAAGAAAAGAAAAGAAAGAAGAATGCGTTACTAAGTATGTTGGTGAAGAAAATGAAATACTTGAATCACCAGGGTCTCAAAAGTACTTTCTCCTAAAGGCTTGTAGCATGTTTTCCCAAAAGGATTTGGAAAAACCTACTTCTTCCAACTGCTTTATTTTTTGAACCATTTGATCAATGTTGAAACTATTCCGAAGACAAAATTTAAGTAATAAATTTCCTAATAACTGGATTTCTTCCTGAAGTATGTTTTTAAGCCATTCTGAGGATAAAATATTTAAAGCCATTATCTTCCCACTCTAAGTTATATGAACTCTGTAATTGAGTTTGTCTCAGTAAAAGGCAGTTGCCGTTTCCTAACACTGATCACAGAAAAGTACCAAGGTTCTCAGAACAGAACTAAAATTATAAAATTAAAAACATTGGTTTCTAAAAGCACTGTAATAGAATATTTGTAATATATTTAAAATATTTGGTCTGTGAGTTTTAAAATATAATGTATAATATGCATTTACATATAATTAACTTTATGATACTGATTCACAAAATTCTACTGGCATCCTTTTATACAAAATGAAGATGTTCAGTTTAGAGATCCCAGAGATTTTAGAGGTCACCTTTATCATGTAAATTTCTATTTGTCCCCAAAGAAGGAAAAACAGATATCAGATATCAGTTGCAAAAATAGACTGGCTTTATGTTTATTCTATTTTCGAAAACTGGAAATTAGGATACAAAAAAGCATGTCAGACTTACTGTTGCGTTCCCATTACCATTTAAAGGATAAAGCAACTGTTTGCTCAGATGTAAATTACCTTCACTATATCTGCTCCTTAGAGAAATTTCTTTCAAATGCCTATCTTAGTAAGTGTTGAGATAATTAAACCACCTTTTCTTAGAAAGCAAGGATGTAAGATAGCTGCTTTGAATAAAATAATTGAATATTTCTTTCCACAGTCTTACTCTAGTGAATATCTAGTTTCTCAAATTCTTCTCAAACACTGTCTTTTTCTTATTGTTCTTTTTAAAAACAACTCTATTGAAGTATTATTGATATATACAAAGAAACGTACATATTTAATGAGAATTTGATGAGTTTGGACATACACAAACACCCATAATACCATCACTACATCAAGGTAGCAGACCTATCCAATACTTCCCAAAGTTTCCTCATGCCCCTCCTTTTTTATTTTGTTGCATTTTCTTGTCAAGAACACTTAACACAGTATCTTTACTTTTTTTTCCCAATGCACAATACCATATTATTAGCTACAGACACGTGCTGTACAGTAGATCCCAAAAACTTACTCATCTTGTGTAATCAAATTGTTATATTGATTGAACAACTCCTCACTTCCTTCACCCCCAAGCCCCTGGCAGCTACTATTGGATTCTCTGCTTCTGTGAGTTTGACTGTTAAAGATACCTCATAAAAGTGGTTTCGTGAAGTATTTGTTCTGAAACTGGCTTATGTCACTTAACATAATGTTCTTCAGCTTCATGCATGTTGTCACCAATGGCAGGATTTTCTTTTCTTTCTTTTTTTTTCGAGGCTGAATTATAGTCTGTTGTATGTATATACCACGTTTTCTTCATTCCTTCATCTGTGGAATGACACAAATTGTTTCCATATCTTGGTTATTGTGAGTAATGCTACAGTGAACCTGGGAGTGCATTTTCTTTTCAAGATCCTGATTTCAATTATTTGAGATAAATACCCATAAGAGAGATTGCTACATTGTCTGATAGTTCTATTTTTAATTTTGTGAGGGATCTCCATACTATTTTTTGTATCTACTGCACCATTTTACATTCCCACCAACAGTGTATAATTCCAAATTCTCCACATTCTCACCAACACTTATCTTGTATTTTTTTGGTAACTACCATCCTAACAAATGTGAGATGATATCTCATTGTAGTTTTGATTTGCATTTCTCTGATAATTAGTGATGTTTAACATGTTTTCATTTCCTGTTAGTCATCTATATGCCTTCTCTAAAGAAGCATCTGTTTAAATCCTTTTCCCATTTCCCCCATGTTATTTGAATGCCAGACATTGTGAATTTTACAGTTTGACAGGTGCAGGTTTTTTTTTTTTTTTTCCTTCAGTCATCCTAGTGACTTACTTAATTTTTTTGCACAGTTATGTTACATGATTCAGTTAGATCAGTTAGAACCTTTAAATGTTATTTTATGCTTTTGGAATACTATACCCAATGCTGTATGCATTTGAGGCCTCTTTGCTCTGACTGATGGGAACAGGAATGATAGCGATAGATGACCTGTGTGAGTTCTGGGAATCTTGTTAGCCCCATGTTACAAAGTTACTAAATAGAAATCTGAAAATTAATAGAAGATGATGACAAAGAGAGTCACAGTATGTCTAGATTATTAATGGAAACAGGGAGAGACCATGGAAGACATGCTCATGAGTGGATCACAATCACAGGCAAGATGCAATTGTGCTATTGCCATGTAAGCATCTCAGAGCACGAGTATAGTACCTAGCTGTCTCTCCCAGTTTTAACATTGACTAGCAGACAGTTTTGGAATAAACCTTCAGACCTGTTTCCTCTGGAGAATACGTGTTAGACTCCTGCTACTTTACGAGCTTTACCTAAAGACTCTGAGTAACCCGGAGAAAGAAACTGCACAGAACCTATTGATGACTCATCTTATGGAGAGTCAGTAACAACTCTCAGTTGATTTCCATTTTATAGACGATATTTGGCATTCTAGGTATTATTCAGGTTACAGATTATTCTAGGTATTATTTCAGAGGAAAGTACTACCAACAATTCAGATGAGGGAAGAATGTTGAACAGCAGAGCTGCTGCACTCAGCCAAGTAGTAGATTTTCAAATACAGGATTAGATAAATTATTTTAAGCAAAAGAATGAAGACAAAGTCCTCAGATTAGAGTAAAAGGAATATTCATGGCTTACCTTCATATAAACTAGGGCATTGAAATTTAAAGAGATTATTTGAAATAAGAAGGAAATATACATGAGATCAAATTCTCATCCTTCTTTCCTCCTTCACTTATGCATCTAGGTTAATCCCTTCACGAGGAGATTCTGCCCTCTTTTAGCATCTCCTTCTTGCTTTTACATCTGTCTGCTCAGATGTAATTTGAGGTGAGTTTCTAAATTATTATTCTAAGTTTAAGAGAACTAGAATTCTGAATCAACGCTATTTCACCCAGAAGCAGGAGGTACAGTCACAGTTTCCTGGAGGACTGTGATACCACAAGATGAATTGTTCATATGTGACTACAACAAAAGATCTGGAATGATTCTTAACAAATTAATAGTAAATTAGGAACAAGTTCAAACCTGAGGCATTCTATTACTTTGACTATTCCAGGATGTTTTATTCGTTGAGTAATTACAAAGGCAGATTACTGAACCAATTCATAAAATGAAGGCTGGCCTTCCAGAAACTATATTCTCTTCTCATGGTGTTGTAAAATGAGGTTTCTTTCATTAATATTCTTCACCTCTTTTACCCCAAAAGACAAGCAAGTAAAAAAAAACCTTACATAGTATAAAAGGATATACTAGCCCAATGAAAAGAAAATACATTAATGTCAAATATTTTCTTATGCGTAATTCCTTCTTACTCAAATAAAAAAGGCCCAAGAGACCTAACTATGTATTTCCAAACAAACAAAACAAACAAAAGTGGTGATCTGAGAGAAGACTGGAGATGTTAAAACTGTATTCTCAAGACTATATAGATTGACTTTGAAATTATTTTTCCAAGAGCTAAATCTGGGACAACTAGAGATCAATGGTTTTCGAACATGTAGGAGATGAGAGGATATACATTATTTAGTACTGTTTTCATAGAGTTTATAAAAGTTGTATACAGTGTTTGATACCGAATTTTTGGGGTTTCTATTAAAGCATTTAGAGTATTCTAAAACATCCTCTTTCTTTTTTGCATGGTGCTGGTGAACATCTGGTCCCATTCTTCTGTATTTCCACATAGACTATAAACCTTTCAGTATACATTATTTCTGTCAATGTGTATTTATCTCACCAATTCTGTTCAGCACCATTGCTCTTTCTGCTTCACCTGGGATATATTCCACTGTGTTTAGTGGACTTGCTACAAAACTCTAATGAAGTAATATTCCTGCCCAGCTCACCAGTGGTAGTGGAGAAAATAAAAATCATTTATCTGCTTTTCAATTTCATTCAACTCAGGTCAATTCAGGGGGCATATTTAAATACTTATTATGTGCTCATCATTATGTTAATATAGAGTAGTCACACATCAAAGATACTCATCAGGTACAGTGCTTTGTATTAT